CCCACACCCACACCCACACCCACACCCACAGGCCCTCAAGGCCTACTATATGGAGTTAACCATAGATCGTCAAGCGATATTGTGTGGAGTTACCTTTGGGTCCTGAGTAGCCGTCCTGTGAGACACTCATGGATGGGTGTGGGTGTGAGTGTTAAGATAGTATCGTCTCCATATCTATAGCCATCCAGACACAGACACTCACACTCACATCTCATCCTTCAGGGAGTGTTGTGGTGAAGATTTGTTTTTTGAGATTTTTGAAAACTGCATCGCGTCTTTCTGACGGTTTTACCGATTGCAAAGAAAATATCAGCTTTGAAGAAAAGTCTTTCAGCTTTATTGAACTGTAAAGTTTATCCGAACAGTAGTGATGGAAATTCGTTATCAACTCTGGAAAGTGATAGGGGGTATGAAAGGTGCAGTTCAGCTATAATAGAAAGAAAACTAGTGAAGAATACTCATCTGACCCATTGTTGATGCTGAGAGACAGTGTTGAGATCCGCTATCATCAGACATTTGCTCCATAATTCAATTAATTTATACGGCACATTGCTACAGTTACAAAATCTTTTCTCTCTTTTTTCTTTTATAATTCTTTATCACGTATATGCTAAAAGGGTTAATAAACTGTATTCATCAAAAGCCAGTGGTATAGCACTGGTATCTGCATGCAGTAAGAACGGTTAAAAAGATTTGAATGCGTGATCAAGCGAAACAAACGACGAGGGCGAAGCAACAAGAATCAAGTACTATGAGCAGATACTAAGCAAACCGAGTATGAACGAAAAACTGCTATAGAGTACAAAAGCATGTTTAATCTTTCATGCTGAATAATAAGAAATCTTTCTCGCCAGATATAACTTATAGGTTCCATTTCCAACCACTAGTATCATACGAAAAGTAATTACCCTTCTTATATAAAATAGAGACCAACCTCTGCTTTCTCTTCTCTATTCTTCCTTGCAAATCGCCTGAAAGCATCGAGTCGTTAAATCATGTTTACAAAGTCTAAAATTCTCAGAGAACAACACTCTCCTCACTATAATCACCATACATAATCTCCTCTCTTTAGTTCATGAAGCCATCCGCCTAACCTGAGCTGTCTGCCAAAACAACTGTCTTCCGGTGCAATCAATCACGCCGCACCTCTCACGATGACCTGGACACACTGACAAGTATAGGCTCACGACACCCCTACCCAGTGTAACAGTGACGAAGTGCCAATTACTGAGTTACATCCATATCTTCTCAAAATGCGGCCCATCTGGTGCTTTAGAATTTCACGGCAGTTTCTTGTACCAGTAATGGAGCAACTAGGAGTTTCCTTTCGCATTTAATGATACTTCACCAACGTCCAGAATTGAATGGTACTGATTGCAAACCTAAGGCTGATCTGCTATACTATTTCAGAATAAAAAATACTCTCCTGTATTACGATTTCAGGAGCCACAAACATCACAAATAGCCGGACTTCAGTAGCTAGGGCCATTTCTACAGTAGGCCTTCACAATCCAAGGCTATCTTCAAAAGTAGGAAATACGAACCTAAGGCTACCTCCAATATCAGTATTTGAATACTCAAGGGTATAGTCCTATGGCAATACTTGATGACCCAAGCATAACTCCTATGATAGCAGTTCAGGACTGAAGGGTATCCTTCTATAGTAGGACTTCAGGACCCAAGAGTACTTCCAAATAGCAGGACTAGGGGACCCACCGGTACTCCCTAATAGTAGGACTGGAGGACCCAAGCTTACCCACAAATAGTGGGATTGGAGGACGTAAGGGTACCCCCTAATACTAGGACTGGAGGACCCAAGGGCACTCCCTGATAGTAGGACTGGAGGACCCAAGGATGCCCCTAATAGTAGAACTGGAGAACCCAAGGGTACCTGCTAATAGTAGGGCTGGAGAACCTAAGGGTACACCCCAATAGTAGGACTCGAGGACCTAAGTGTACCCCCTAATAGTAGGGCTTGAGGACCTAAGGGTACCCCCCAATACTAGGACTGGAGGACCCAAGGGTACCCCCTAATAGTAGGGCTTGAGGACCTAAGGGTACCCTCAATAGTAGGACTGGAGGACCTAAGGGTACCCCCATCGTAGGTCTTGAGGACCACATACTGAACAATATGTAGATGGATGTCTTAACAAATCCAAAACTATTTGGTAGATTTGTGAAAACCGAAAAACAAATCCAAACCAGATGCCAAATCTAAACTACAAATCCAAACCAGTGCCCAAACCCTGGGCACAAACCACAATTCGAATCCAAATATATCATGCAAGTCCAAATCCAAATTCAAACCTAGCATACGAATCCAAATCCAAACCCAATTCCTAAAGGTTTGATGCCGAATCCAAATCTATCTCAAGAATTGTTGCATCCCTAGTCAAATTTGTAGAATAAAGAGATCTCGCCTTGCTTTGTGGCCACTTCTAGTCACTTGTATCGATCAAAATAGGCATTCAAAATTATTGAGTTTCGTTTCTGTTATACAAAGCTATCATCAACAAGAATTCTTTTTTTTCCTCCAGTATAATCAGTAATTTCTGAAGTTCTGCCATAAACTCAATCAATGAAATACTTTTAGCAAATCCATTGATGCAATAATGGATGGATTTATTGCAATATAAATGATTTTGTTTCAGAAAAATATTATTTTTCTCCATTTTTAGTTTCGGCCGACAGTCTTAACTCAAATGTTCCATAACCACATTTTGGATTTCGGACGATAACCCGATAATCACCTTTTCGAAGACGATAGCTTAGCACGGCACCATAACAATTCTTCAATGCTAGATGACTTCCATCATCATTTTGAGCTAATAACCGTCCATTTGGTTCAGAATAAAGTTCAAGTAAAGGATCAACTGCACCTGATAACTTCCATGACGTGCATGGAATCCATGTGTTGCTTGACACAGTAACATCAGCCCATGTTGTGTTGACAGTAAAACAAAAAGTATACATGGACTCATTGACGTTGGTGGTTATATTCAACACAGTGCCAAATGATAGTAGGCGAGGACAAGATGGAAGTGATGGTTGTTGAGCAGTCGATGTACGATGAGTGGTGTTGTCAGTCGATAGTCGCAATTCGAACTTGCCATATGCACACTTTGAATTTCGGATAACTACTCGATAGTTACCTTTGGCTAATCGATAGCTTAATACTGCTGCAAAACAATTTTTGAATGGCAGACTATCTCCATCATCATTTTGAGCTAATAGATGACCATTGCTTTCCGAATATAATTCGAGTAATGGATCAGCTGCTCCTGATGCTTTCCATGCTGAGCAAGATACCCAAGTGTTGGCTGATATTGTCACATCAGCCATTGAACTATTGATAGTGAAACAAAAGACGTACGATGGCTGGCTGGCACTTGTAGTTTCATTGGAGATAGTGCCAAAAGAGAGTCGACGAGGACATGAAGTTGATGGATGAATAATTGTTGTTGTTGATGGCGACATTATGGGTGTGGTGGTTGGATGAGCAGTAGCAGTAGTAGGAGCTGTTGTTGTTATATTTGTTTCTTCGGTGGTCGGATTTGTTGCAACTTGAAATGTCCAGAAGTGGTGATTAGTGACTGGTGCCGATTCGACTCCACACGATTCATTGATCGTTGCTACTCCACCATCAAAAAGAATGTAATAACTTTCGCCCTAAAGTAAACTAGGTGTCTCTATCATACTACACATAGATTCACCATCACTCACCTGAGTCCAAGTGTAGCCTGTAGTATAGAAGGTGATTTGCCGCAATTGATAAGTGACAGTCACATCTGTAGATACATCAACTCGAAAGACTTCTTCATCGTTTGACTGTTTGAAAAATCGAATATTAACTCCGCTCCGTTTTGGTGGTGTAATGTCTCGATTAGTGGAAATTGACCAAACGGGTTGACTTTGGGCAACAATTCCTGTTGGAACCATTGAACCAAGCACAAATTCTGGTGCACGCACATCGACCTGAAATGTGACACATACCTGTTCGCCTGTTTGTTGCTCAGAATCAGCTGGTGTCATGCACAATTGTTGAAGACCATATTGATCAGCCTGAGGAATCCATTGAATTTGCATTGTATATAAATTTGGATCTGATGGATCTTGTGTGACTGGACCCTTAATCATGCCTAAAGGGGATACAGTGAGAATGTTAGCCAAAGTGGTGCTTGTATTAACACACGGAATTCGAACTTGTACGTGTTCAGTCATCGTTGTGTTCGATTCAACTCCTATGCATGCTCCTTGTGCCCAGGGACCAATGTAGACAGGTGGTTGAGTACAAATACTTGAATTGGTCGCATTGCTTGTCCCAGTGACAATCTGAATGAGAAATTGAAGTGGAATGCTCGAGCGCACATTGTTGTCTGAATCAAAATCCTCAATCACCAAAGCAACAGCTTCATAGCCCAATTGAGTTGCATCATAAGTTAATTCACATGGATCTGACTGTAAGACACCTTTGGGTGTACATACACTTCCACACTCTTCTAATGTATTGCCCCATCGACATCGTACTAAATCACCGTCACTATCAGCCATTGGAATACGGATCACATGCGTCTTCCCAATCTGAAGACGAACAATCGGATTCATGGTTGTCTTGGGTGAATTGTTCCATCTAAAGAAAATGCACTAGTTTAAACAAAATCTAAAAAAGAATAACTCTTGCTCACTTTCCGTCACTACGTCGATGCGTATCAATAGCAAGTCTCATCGACCAACCATCGCCCGTATCGGGTGGCAACAAAGGGATCCAGCAGCAGCTGGTAAAAAGGAATTCAAGCCGATTTTCGACTGGCAGTAAAATGTCAGTTGAGCGTTCTCCACTACTATAGTCAAATTCTGTATTGAAATCAGTACATTGCACTGTTGCATCAATGGTACTGTGGAATCCATTATTGGTACCGGTAGCCAGTGCACCTTCGCCGATCAATGGAAAGCCAGCAGCAATTGTTGACTCATCGCAATAGTGTTGTAGGCCCATTGAGCGACGCCATGAATGTCTTTGGGTGACACGAACGAGTACCTGGCTGGAATTATTTTGTTCAAGTTCAGTCGGATTATCTTGAATAGCCCAAGAAATGGAGCCACCTCTATGTTCAAATATTTATTTATGCATCGCTCAGATGTAAAACAAGACTCACCGATAGTGAGATCCACTAGTCAAGCAGATGGAAAGGAAGATAACAATGAAAGTGTGCATCAACTGCATGGTATTTTGGAGAGTGAGCACCTACAATTATTTACATCCCTCATTTATACGCGTTAGTTATCAGGGCTGCGTAATAGTGTTTATTACAGTTTTAACGAGACTCTTAAAAATATTGACCTTTATGTTGTGTATGTTTTAGTGTATAAAAACAAGTAATCACGTTGCTGCTATAAAAATAACAGCGCAAAAGATTTTTATTGATATTTACATATTCTAATCTCGATTTTTGTTCCATCTAATACTGTGCAATTCTCCGACAGTATTGTTGTTTTATGGTTTCTTCATAAGAGTGTGGATGTGGGTGTGTGGCAAGGGGGGAAAAAGCAGATTTTAACCCTTGAAATCTTTGGAAATCTTTAGAAATCTTTAAGAATCCTTCGGAACCTTAAAATGAGGCATGTTTCAGCATCAATACAGCAGTAAATTGTCAGAATTGAATGGCATTGGTATTGACCGGATTTCATATTATTATACCGATAATGTTACATCTCTAATTTTTCCGTTAAACAATGAATCTTTTCAGTAAGGGGTGGACGTGGGTGTGGGTGTCGAAAAAGAAGAAGCAGTCACACACGCATACACTTAAGGTGTTGCTCCAAAGATTATTCGGGTAGCCTGACGTTTTGCATCCGGCCGATTTCACAGTGAATGTTAATAAGGATAAATTCTACGGATCGCGTTGCATGCTCTCAATTTATTACAAATGGTATTTATTAACTTCTTCATTTTTCTATAGTTATCAACCGTTCATGAACCCAGAAACATGAACTAGAAAAGAAATAGATAGTATAGAAAGAATTCATGCTCTAACGTAGTCTCATCAGAAAAGACAAGTCACTGGTATTGGAGAAGAGCTGTCTTTTAACTGATAAGGGGGTGAAATCACAGCGAATCCTATTCACCTGAGTAAAAATCCGAAGAAACATGAAGAAAGAAAATTGAAAACAGCAAACATTCATCAACTAATTTAATATGATGTTTTGCTTCAGATACTTGATCTATATCTATTAGATATGAATCGAGAAGCATAAGCTAACTTATCCTGCACTTCTCTGTAAATCCAAGAAATATTTCCTTGAAATTAATGAAACAAAGCAACATGGACTTACTCGATTGATTTCGATATGATAATTGATAACGATCAGATATCTAAACACAGAAAATCAATTTCAGGTTGATTTGGAAAATTTAACTTCTATTCTATTTAAAAGTGGTAAGATTTTACAGAGGAAACGCGCGACAAAACAGATATTATACTGCATTTTTCTATTTTTCCGTGATTAAGTGCACAACATTTTTTAGAAAAAAAACAATAGCACAATAATGAATTCTATTCTCATGAGATCATAATCGCGCAAAAATCAGTGATTTTATCGACATTTATTGTTTCAAAATCGTGAGATTATATTGACATTAAATGTCCAAAGACAATGATTTTTGTCGATTTTTCTCGCAGTTTTATTGAAAACTGCTTCTTTATTCTTACATAGATTGACACGTAAGCAACCCTATTACGAAAATAATGTGATGCTTCTACATTCATCGAATCGATGGCTGTATTTATATTAGCTGCAAATGATCCAGACACTCTTTTTCCCACAGATAAAGTTACCAAATATTATTGTTAAGTATTATTTTTCATTCCGAGAAAAATATTTTATGTCAAGGACATCGCGAGATTTCGTCGAAAATCTATCACCTCTCAGTTTTCATTGTCAATATTATGGAAAGATAGAGCCTAGGGGTGGCACTTTATCTTTATTTCACTTTATTAAAGTAAAGTGAAGTATCTCTAACTTTATCGAACAAGCAAGATATAGTAAAATAAGATAATGTAAAGCATATAGTTGATGGTTATTCATTTATTAGTTTATTATCGCACATTAATCACACTCTCATACGTCAAAAATTGCGTCGAGTTACGGATTGGAGACCCCGAATAGTTTAAACCTGATTTTATTACTTTGGAAGTTAGCATCGAACTCTGAATATTCTTCATAATTCTGTGTTTCACATGATCACAACTCAAGTTTTGATACTTGGGGTTGCCCTCAGATATCAAAAAAAAATTTTCTGACTTTTCAATCACGAGTTTTTATAACCCAATAGCACCAAGTGTGCAGATTACAAATATCTCACTTATTTTTAGAAAGTGACACAACAGTTGAGCATCCAACATTTGAGCGTCAGTAGTTGAGTCTATACACTAGAGCTCCAGATGTTTGAGTGTCTTACCGGTCAAGATTGTTGCCTTTTGAGTCTCTTCACATTTTAAGTCAAACCATTAACTAAATGGAGTATTTATTACAACTAGGATATGGGACGCAAACGGTCTTAGGGTGCGAATGCCGATGTGAATGCGGACTGTGGGTGTAAATGTGGGCTGTGGGTGTGAGTAGCAGTATTTGGGTGTGGGTGTGGGGAGGGGGGGGGGGAGTGTGGGTGTGGGTTTCTTCGGTTCACCCACACCCACGCCTAGAACGAGACCCATACTCACATCCACACCCACACCCACCCCATCCTTGGGTTCCTTGGGTTCCTCGAGTTGCATGAATTCCTTGAATTACGTGGGATTTTTGGGTACGTGTTATATAATTTTAGAGTTCCAGAATTCCTCAAGAGTTCGGTATTCACGGAATTCGGACAATGCTACCGGGGTGATATGTATTCTACTCTTTTTTTATAGTGTACTTTCACTCACCAAGTCGAAGAAAGCTTTATCAGACTTTTAAAATAATCATTGTTAAGTCAATATTACTTTTATTCGAAAATGTGCGGTGTATGTATTCTGGGAAAGTCATCTTATATTTGTCCTGATAAGAACAGTAACACGCTATTTAATCGGTTTTTGAAAGGCTTATTCGTGAAATTAGTTAAACAGCGTATACCATGAAACATATCATTCTGTTAATTTTGCTCA